AATTTCTTATATTAAATTCTCTTTGGTGCAATACCTAGAGAGTCTTTTGTTTTCCAGACTAGACCCTGACTCATACAGGGAGGAGTCACAGAATCAGCGTTTGACAGACACATTGGCATAAGAGGCAGAAAGAAAGTGGATCCACCAGTGCACTAACTTTCTGTGCGTCTTGGACAAAATTGTTTCTCTTCTCTAACCCTCTCATTAAAGTTTGCTGAATAGTTACCAAAACTTGTATTCAGAATTAATAAATATGTCAAAGGGAGCTTCTTTTTCTTTTTTTTTTTATCCTCACCCAAGGACATTTTTCCATTTTTGTTCAGATAGAGTGGGAGGGAGAGAGAGAGAGAGAGAAACATCGACGTGAAAGGGACACATCGAGTGGTTGCCACCCGCACGAGCAATCAGGACCGGGGACAAACTGCAACCAAGGTACGTGCCCTTAGTGGGAACTGAACCCGGGTCTCTCTGGACCGCAGGCTGACGCTCTAACCGCTGAGCCAAACCGGCCAGGGCAAAGGGAGCTTCTTAAGAGGGAAAAAAAAAATCAGTGAATAGATATTCTCAAATACAATATGAGGTACTGTCAGAGGGCACTGATGTAGTATCTTGAAATAACTTTTGTTAAATTTCTTAAAATTCGCCCTGGCCGGTTTGGCTCAGTGGTTAGAGCGTCGGCCTGTGGTCCGGAGAGACCCGGGTTCGGTTCCCGCTAAGGGCACGTACTTCGGTTGCAGTTTGTCCCCGGCCCTGGTCGGTTGTGCGGGTGGCAGCCACTCGATGTGTCCCTTCACGTCGATGTTTCTCTCTCTCTCTCCCTCCCACTCTATCTGTACAAAAAAATGGAAAAATGTCCTCGGGTGAGGATAAAAAAAAAAAAAAAAAAAAATTTCTTAAAATTCAATTATTTTAATAAAAAATGATACATAGATATAACCTTAATTTTAAAAAATCACTTGTACAGCCCAGCCGGTGTGGCTCAGTGGTTGAGCGTCGACCCATGCACCAAGAGGTCGCTGGTTCGATTCCTAGTCAGGGCCCATGCCCAGGTTGTGGGCCCAATCCCCATGGGGGGCATGCAGGAGGTGGTCAATGGATGTTCTCTCTCATCGATGTTTCTATCTCTCTCTACCTCTCTCTCTAAAGAGCCCCCCCCAAACTTGTACATGCTCTATTAGTTTGCTAGCACTGCTATAACAAAATACCACAGACCAGGTGGCTTAAGCAACAGAAATGTATTTTCCTCACAGTTATAGAGTCTAGAAATCCAAGGTTAATGTGTCAGCTGTTTTATGTTTTGTTTTGTTTTCTTCCCCGAGGCCTTTATCCTTGGGTTGCAGATGGCCATTTTGTCTGACTCCATTTTAATTTAATTACCTCTTTAAAGGCCCTATCTCAAAATGTAGTTATATTCTGAGGTACTGGGGGTTAGGACTTCAACATGACTTTGGTGAGAGACACAATTCAGCCCCTAATACATGCAAAGTTTGTTAAGAAGAAAAGTAGTGGGCTGTTCCTACTCTCGCCCTCCTGTCTCATTCCCCAATTTCTGGAAGAAACCAATTTGCACTGTTTTGATTATTTGGATATTTATCCTCACATCTCTAAATAACATGTATTAATGCCTCTTCTTGGTTGTTCAGGTTAGATTTTCATCCCTTAGTTTTCACTAAGAAAGATTAAACTCTTTCACTTGTCCCACCACCCATATGAGCGTCTCCTCTCCCATTCTTCTCAAATAATTAATCCTAATTTTGGTTAGTTCAGTGATTGATATTTACATTATTAAACAACTTTGTTTTTCCTGAAGCCAATAACTGTCTTTTTAATTTTTTCTTAGTTTTCTTTTCCCCCTTAATATTATTATATATTTGCAATACAAATAATCAAGATTGGTGATATAGAGGATTTATATAAAAAACATGCTGTGTTTATTAAGTGTTTTTCTCTATGAAGCCCAATACCAATCCTTTATGTTTTCATTTGTTTCCATACAAAGTCACTTTGCTGTGGTACTCACATGGCTCTCCTCCTTCTTTTTTTTTTATTTTTTTTATTTTATTTATTTAATTTTTTTTTTATCCTCACCTAAGGATATTTTTCCATTTTTTTGTACAGATAGAGTGGGAGGGAGAGAGAGGAAGGGAGAGAGAGAGAGAAACATCGACGTGAAGGGACACATCGAGTGGCTGCCACCCGCACGACCAACCAGGGCCGGGGACAAACTGCAACCGAAGCACGTGCCCTTAGCGGGAACCAAACCCGGGTCTCTCCGGACCGCAGGCCAACGCTCTAACCGCTGAGCAAAACGGGCCAGGGCGGCTCTCCTCCTTCATACTCAATCCTTAGCACTCCTGACACTGCATTTTTGAGTGGCAAGAGTTATTATCCTTGTCTTCTATAATCAATTATAAAACCATTACTCTGCAAGAATTTGGGTAAGAAATAGTTTAAAGAAACAGAATTTCTAAAAACTTGAGCCTACTACAGGTCACTAATTATTTTTGAGCGAAGCAATTGGCACAGACTTAATATGGTCTCTTCTGTTTCTTTTCTCAATCAACTGCTCAAAGAAAAGATGGAGTAATTGAGTTTTAAAATCCTGCCAGATTTTCTATGGTAATTATTTTAGATGAACAATGTAGAGTCCTATTGAAGTATTCAGAGCTCATGCAAAACTCTAATGAATGCCTCATTACATTAGGCAATTCTGTCATCTTCTGTACTTAAAAATTCTCACACTGAAGTGGCAGTGATTACTCTTCACTACTTTATCATCTGACCTCAGGGGACTTAGACATAAAATTGCTGTTCAAGTCTGAGTTTTTGCAACATAGTAGTGCCAGGTATTTTGGAATAAGGAATTTTATTTTATTTTATTTTATTTTATTTTATTTTATTTTATTTTATTTATTTTTATCCTCACCCGAGGACATTTTTTGATATTTTGTTCAGATAGAGTGGGAGGGAGAGAGAAAGAGAAACATCGACGTGAAAGGGACACATTGAGTAGTTGCCACCCACACTACCCAACCAGGGCCAGGGACAAACTGCAACCGAGGTACATGCCCTTAGCGGGAACTGAACCCGGGTCTCTTCGGACTGCAGGCCGACACTCTAACCGCTTAGCCGAACGGGCCAGGGCTGGAATAAGGAATTTTAAGACCCTGGTGGAATCAGGAGGTAGCTGATGGATCTCTCTCCCTCACCCTTCCTCTCTTTCTCAAATCAATAAAAACATATTTAAAAAAAATAAAAATCAGTGAAAAAATATTCTTGGGTGAGGATTAACTCCCCTCCCCCTGCCAGAGAAAGAAACTGTGGGGAAAATCACTCTATAAACTGACTATATAGTATATGATAAGAATGAACATTTTATAGAATAAAGCCTGTCTGTACATAGTAGTTAGTTGCAAAAAGCCATTTGGTCTTCTCTTGGCTTGTAAAAACCATGTTCCAGATTTCAGTGTAAATTGGCAACCTTCTACTCTTGTGTAGCAGGTATCTTGTTTCACCTACCAGTTGTTCTACCCCAGCCTGTGTCATGAGATCTGCAATATTTTTCTCCAGATCATCAATGCAACGACTCATGTCATCAATTCTTCCAATGATCTGGTCGGACATGGTCTGAAATTTATCTTGCATGTTGCAGGCATGTCTGCACCACCGAGGGTGAGATCCTGCCTCAGTCTCAGCCATCTCCTTGGTTCCCAGCTTGGTGGTGAAGTCTCAGACCATCATCTACGCTTCCATTTGTCAGTGCAGATGCCCCCAGCCTACATAGTTTTCTTTGTACTTGTTACTAATCAACTCTTTTGGTGTAAGTCTCATCTCAGTTACTGTAAGACACACTTCATATTCTATGTCATCCTCTAGACACTCTCCTGGGGTCTCTTGCTTGTTCCAATCTGGATCAGCTGAACTCTGGGACTGTTGTACTGCTGCCTACTAATTCCCTTTGCTTCTCCCTTGGTTTGGAGTTCCTATTTCCCGAATCCCATGTCTTCCTCTTTTGGTCTACTTCCTTACTGTGATGTCAATTTATCATCTTACGGATTTGCTTATTCAGCCAGCAGTTATTGAGCTTGTGTCAGGCACAGTGCTAGGCACCCATGACACAGAAGTCAGAGAAATAGACAATGCTACTGCCTATAGGGTGGAGACCTTGAGCTCTGTGACAATACAAGGGCTAGTGTGACCTCAGTTAGCAGCAAGTGCCTAGTTGCTTAGGAACAGAATAACTGCCCTCTTTACACGTCCTCATCTCTTGTCTGATCATAGCAAAAGCCACCGCTCCCTGACAAATCTATCTCCTGCCCATTCGTTATCCAATCTATTAAAACATACGTCAGATCAGGGCATTCCCTAGCTTAAAGTGCTCCGCTGGCTTATTATTACAACCAGGAAAAATCCAAAGACGTTATCACCGCCTACCCAGCCTTGCAGTTCCCTCTCCTGCTCCCTTTGCCCCTCCACGCAGGGCTCCAGCTGAAACACTGACCTGGCTCCTGCCTGGGATCTCCACACGTGCTTTCTTTCAGCCTGGAATTTCACCTCTGAAAGGCCATTCCTGACCTCCCAATGGAAAGCCACCCCATTTTCGAAATTATTGCATTTATTTCGTTGTTTTGGAGTTCCCTGTGTCACCCCATTCCCAATACCTACACTAGAAAGCTTCCTGAGAGCAGGGATTCTTTTGCTGAGTTCAGCCTCCAAAACACTGCCTGGGTCAGAGTAGATGCTGAAGAAATGGGGGTGACTGATGGAGCCCACAAAGTTGTTTCCCAGGGCTATTACAAGGGTCTTGTTTGCGGCAGGGAGAGATCGTCCTTTAACCATTTACTCCCATGCTCAGCAGGGTGGGGAGTGGGGTGGAGAGGGCTAGCATATGCGCATCCTCTACTTCCCCTCCCCCATTCCTCCGCGGCTCCCCCGTCTACCCATCCTCTCCGGCCCCTCCCTCACCCCTCTCCGCGGCAGGTCCGACCTGGGCACGCCCTGCGTCTCGCGGGCACTAAAGTGCGCAGACACGGGACCGCGGGAGGTGGCGAAGGATGGCGCTCGCGGCGATGAGCTGGCTGCTGTTGCTCCTGGCCATGGACTTGGCAGGTAACGCTCACCAGCAAGCTGGTCGGCCCAGGAACCGTGGAGCAGTAATGAAGAGAGTCTCGTTGGCCGATTGCCCGGATCCCCGCGGCCCTGGTGTCCTCTGCACCCGTTACTGGCGGTTCCTGGGCCCGCTTCGGTCCTTGAGGAACGTCGGCGTGGGGGGTGGCGGAGGAACCGGGGAGCCTTTAGTTCTTGCTTGGGCCTCATTCCCAGCTCCTTCTCCCTTAAAGCTGATTTCTGGAGCCCAAGATAAGGAGCTGGGATTATATGTATACAGTGGCTCTGCTGAATCTCAGCAGATGTATGGGAATTAGGAATGGTGAATGCCAAGTGCATCGGGAACTCTGGGGTTTATGAGAAAGGGGCTTCAGTTCAGCCAGACGTGACGCCCTTTTTGAAATGGAGTTAAAATGGTAGCACCTAAGTTTTGCGTTCATTACCCTGAGCGGCAGAGGAACAGAATATTGTGAATTATTAGGAGTTACTTCTCTGACTTTTATTCCATAGCTCCATAGTCCTTTCTCAAGCAAACCTATTAGGGTGGTCAGTTGTGGAACCTGTACCAAGTGTTCTTAGTGTGTGCCTGCTGGGAGAGGTGTCAGGAAACCACTCAAAGTCCTCTGGAGGTGGGTGCGCGTCAGAGGGTGGTTCAGAGAAGTTAGACATCCAAGGGAAAGGGAGGTGTGGCCTGGATAAATCACAAGCTGGATTTAAAAAGCCCTTATGAACAAGAATTGACCTTAATCACATACTTTAAAATGTCTGTTGTTGTTTTTTCTTTCAGTCTCTGTGAACAATCAATTTGGTGCACATGCAGATTATATAACAGTAAGTAGGAAACCACTTGTACTGTTTCTAATATAGTGAAGCCCACAACAGTTTGAGTTGGAGGCTAGTTTTCAGTTCTGACCTTGCCACTTTGGAAACTGTTGCCTGCTTTGGAAACCAGAGCTTCGGGGAAGCTTTCAGATAAAAAAAATGTAAATTTTGGTTGAAAATATGTCAGTTTCTGAAGGCCTTGGGGCTTTGATTCCTTTAATGATTCAGAAAGCCCTTGGCTTAATAGTTATACCTTGTATTGGACATTTTTTGTACAGTACATTATCAAATTAAATTCTGTGGAAGTAAACAAAGACCAGACAAATGAGATAAAAATAAAGCTGTTTGTTCAGAACTTGCTGTAACAAGGGAGTCAGCCATGTCTCTCGTATTTTGGCAGAGACTCAAATACAGGTGGAGAAGTGGGAAAGCCTTATGGTAGGAGAAAGGAAGGCTTCAGGTGTGCCCTGATTCGAGGCTGTTGGCATGGGAAAGCTGGAGACTGGACAACTAGAAGCTAGTAGTGCATGGTTTGGACAAGTGATTGGTTAGGAGTGCATATTTGGCTTTCTCTGATTGGTCCTAAGTTGGAAGCGGGAACAAAAATTAAGGAAGCTGTCAGTTATTAATCAAATCCTGGCCATTTGGGGCCAATAGTTACAGAGATTACTGTTTAGCTTCCTGGACTGTCACTATAGATAACCATCTGACGTTTTACTAGTCTAATTTATAGCAGGCTGGCTTCCTGGGTTGGTTATTCTACATAATGAGTTGGTTTCATAGAAGGTAGCTGCAGGCTATGGGTGAGATTTCTATTTTATTAAATTTTTTTTCTCTATTGATTTTAGAGAGAGAGGAAGGGAGAGGGAGAGAGAGATAGAAACATCACTGAGAGAGAACATCAATTGGCCGCCTCCTGCATGCCCCCTACTGGGGATTTGGCCCACAACCTAGGCATGTGCCTTTACTGGGAATCGAACCAGAGACCTCTTGGTGCATGGGTTGATGCTCAACCACTGAGCCACTTCCACTGGGACAGATTTCTATTTTAATATCTGGTCTGACATTGTTCATTTGTATGTTCAGCTAATTCTCACAATGACCTTGTAAGAGAGATGTTATTGTTTTACATATGGAGGATATTGACCTCTTGGGCTAAGTAAACTCAAGTATTCAAAGGAAGCCTTCCCACCCTATTTGCTTCCTTCAAAGCAGATATAAATGTACTTTATGCTTCCTTTCAACCTATACTTCATCATCATCACTATGATAGTGCAGGGGAGGAAAAAAATTTCTCCTCTACCCTTCTAAGTTCTCATTTGGGTCCTTATAACAAAAGACAAATTACCAAGAGAAAAACAGACAGAAGTTTATTAACATGTGCGTTTGCACATACACCTAGGAGCAATTAGAGAGAGACTCGAAGAGGTGGCTTCGAACTTCAGCTCATGTATCTTCTTTGACAAAGAACAGTAAGAGAAATGGTTTAAGCTTCCAACAGTGGCAAACAATGGGACAGTAAATGTATGGGAGGAAACTAATGGGGTAAGGTTTGTTTGCAGATCTCTCTGGTGACATTTCTGGACTGATAAGAGTCTAGAGCCTATCAAGTTAAGGAGAATTTTTATTCTGCCTTTAGGCAGAAAGGGAGAAAGGGTACAAAGAACTTCTGGGTTTGAGGTTTTTTAAACTGCCTTAAGGTCAAAATAATTTTTATGTCAAAGAGTCATATTTTGGAGGTAACATATTCTGGGTTCCTTCAACAGGAAATGCTTAGATACCACTTACTATGTGCCAAGCACTGCTCTTAGTGTTATATATATATAATAACTCTACCTTTTATAACACTATGAAGTAGGTGTCATTATTATCCCTTTGGCCATGATCACATGGAAATGGTGGAACTATGGTTCCAACCCAAACAGTCTGACTCCAGATCCAGCACTCTTAATTACCTGATCATAGCTTTGAATTGTAATTGCCTGCCCCCCCCCCCCCCGTAAACTGTACACTCCTGTAGTCAAGGATAATGTCTTGTTACTTAGTGCCCAATCTTAAGCACTTAGTGGGTGCCCATTAATATTACTTGATCAGAGGATTCAATTTTCTTGGTTTGATTTTCTTTCAGAAAATTAGGATAATTTCACCTCCGTCTGAGGGCTGGGATTAGGGTAAGGAAGTGAGGTGCCTAGGGTGTAAAATGTAAGGAGGCACTCACTCTCAGGAGGCAAATGACACAGGACCCTGCTCTTATTTGTACAGGATTATTAAAAGGATGAATCAGCCCTGGCCGGTTTGGCTCAGCGGTTAGAGCGTTGGCCTGCGGTCCTGAGAGGCCCAGGTTTGGTTCCCGCTAAGGGCGCGTACCTCGGTTGCAGTTTGTCCCCGGCCCTGGTCAGTTGTGCGGGTGGCAGCCACTCGATGTGTTCCTTTCACATCGATGTTTCTCTCTCTCTGTTCCTCTCTCTCCCTCCCACTCTACCTGAACAAAAAATTGGAAAAATGTCCTCGGGTGAGGATTAAAAAAAAAAAAAAAAAAAAAGGATGAATCAGCCCTGGCCGGTTTGGCTCAGTGGTAGAGCATCGACCTGCAGTCCAGAGAGACCCGGGTTCGGTTCCTGCTAAGGGCATGTACCTTGGTTGCAGTTTGTCCCCAGCCCTGGTTGGGTCATGCGGGTGGCAACCACTCTATGTGTCCCTTTCACGTCAATGTTTCTCTTTCTCTCTCTCCCTCCCTCCCCACTCTATCTGAACAAAAGATGGAAAAGTGTCCTCAGGTGAGGATAAAAAAAAAGGTTGAATCATGCAAGAGATCTTTGTTTTTTCTTTCCTATTTTCCCTGCCACTGCTCCAGTTTAGGGCCCCCATTACCTCTTACACAGACTAGCATAATAGCCCCTAGCGATTTTATTTAACCTTTAGCAGCTCCATTTTGTAGCTCCTGTTACACACTGCTGCTGCAATTACTCTTCAGAATCTTTACTCTGAGTACAGTGTGTCTCTGTGCTAAATCTAGAGACTTCCCAGTGTCCCTAGAGAATGTTTCATGTCCTTATTGCAACCACCTTTCTACCTGGACCTTTCTCTGCTTTCCCATAGCTTATGCCCCTCTATTCTTATGCTAGTGCCACACCGTTTTAATCACTGTAACTTTGTAGTCAGTTCTGAAATGGCGAAATGTGAATCCTCCAACTTTTTCTTCATGATTGTTTTGGCTCTTCTGGGACTCTTGCATTCCTATATGAATTTTAAGACCAGTTTGCCAATTTCTGCTCTAAAAAAAAAAAAGAAAAAAGGCAATTGAAATCTTGATAGGGATTGCATTGAACCTATAGATCAATTTGAGGAATATTGCCATCTTTAAAAAGTTAAGTCTTTAGATCCATGAGTATGGGATGTGTTTTTATTTATTTAGGTCTTTAATTTCTTTGAATAATATTTTGTATTTTTCAATCTATAATTCTTAAACTTCTTTTGTTAAATTTTAGTTCTAAATATTTTATTCATTTTTTAAAATTTATTTTTATTTTTTATTTTAACTCATCTTTATTGTTGACCTCCTCCTCCCCAATCCTGCCCCCCTCCTGCCTTCCCCACACTATTGTCGGTGTCCAGTGGTTATGCGTATGTGCATAGAAGTTCTTTGGTTTATCTCATCTCACCCTCTCTCCCCCCTTCCCTTTGAGGTTCATCAATCTAACAACCAATTTGTACTTCTTAATTTCTTCATCTTTTTCACCCATCCCTCCAGCCCTCACACATTTGAAAAAAAACCAAAAAGTTCTCTGTATCTAGGAGTCTGTTTCTGTTCTGCTTGCTCATTTTGTTTGTAGATTCAATTGTTGATAGATATTAATTACCATTTTATTGTTCATATTTTGTTTCTATTCTCCTTCAAGAAGACCCTTTAACATTTCCTATAATCCTGGTTTGGTGCTGATGAACTCCTTTAGCTTTTTCTTGTCTGGGAAACTCTTTATATGGTCATTGATTCCAAATGATAGCTTTGCTGGATAGAGTAATTGTGGTTGTAGGTCATTGCTTTTCATCACCTTGAATATCTCTTGGCACTCCTTTCTGGCCTGCAAAGTTTCTTTTGAGAAATCAGCTGACAGTCTTATGGGAGCTCCTTTGTAGGTAATGAACTACTTTTCTCTTGCTTCTTTTAAGATTCTCTCTCTGCATTTAACCTTTGGCATTTTGATAATGATGTGTCTTGGTGGGGACCGCTTTGGGTTCATCTTGTTTGAGACTCTCTGTGCTTCCTGGACTTGTGTCTGTTTCCTTCACCAAATTAGGGAAGTTTTCTGTCATTTTTTCAGATGGTTTTCAATTTCTTGTTCTCTCTTTTCTGCTTCTGGCACCCCTATGATGTGAATGTTGGCATGCTTGAAGTTGTCCCAGAGGCTCCTTACCCTATCCTCATTTTTTTGCATTCCTATTTCTTTTTGCTGTTCTGATTGGGCATTTTTTGCTTCCTTATATTCCAAATTTATGGTTTGCTTCTTGGTTTTACCTATTTTACTATTGATTCTGTGTAAATTATTCTTTATTTCAGTTAGTGCATCCTTCATTTCTGACTGGTCCTTTTTGATGTTGTTGATGTTTTCAATAAGTTCCTTGGAGGTCTCCTAAGTTCCTTCAAGGTCTCACCAAGTTCTTTGAGCAGCCTTATAACCAGTGTTTTGAATTCTGCATCTGATTGATTGCTTATCTCCATTTTGTTTAATTATTTTCCTGGAGTGTTGTTCTTTTCTTTTATTCAGAATGTTTCTTTGTCTCCTCATTTTGGCTGCTTCCTGTGATTGTTTCTATGTATTAGGTAGAGTTGCTATGTCTTCGAGGCATCGTAGGGTGGCCTATTGTTGTAGGTGTCCTGTAGGATCCAGTGGCACAGCCTCCCTGATCTCCCCATCTGGGTGCTCATGGTGCACTCAAGTGTGGACTGTACACCTTTCTGTTGTAATTGAGTCTTGATTGCTGTTGGCACATCAATGGGAGGAATTTAC